AAAAGCGTTGCGATGAACTCGTTCATACGTCCGCTTTCTGAGCTGTTACCTGTTCATGAGTGAAAACCAACGGCCAAAAAGGGGTCCCGTTTTGCGTTTTCTTGACGGATTTTTCCGCTTTTTCGCCACTGGCGTACCATTGAGCACCACCACGTCCCCTCCAAACCCTTTTTACCCAATCGTAATCGCTGCCTGCAAAACCAACAAAGCAGTGAAGCTGGCTGCTTAAGTCGCATCCTTCCATGCTCAGCGTCAGTGAGTGTCAAACCACTACACGTAGAATTACCAAATACGCATAAACATTTCGCGTGGCTCCTTTTGTTTTCTTCGCGAGAAAAGCCACGATTCGTCTTTTTACAAGAGATTATTTCGAAATCACATATAAAAGATAGAAATCGAATAAAACACGTGCTGAAAAGTCGGCAGTATTATTCGTATCACCACAATGTTGTTGAGCTGGCGTCAGAGTGTTAGTTGGCGCAGCGCAGGAATATCCCCGTGTCTTCCTCAGCATGTGATAGGCAAAGGGAAGACACAGGAATATTGTTGGACGAGAGCAGAGCTGAATTTCGCTTCCCTGTCGGGGATGTGAGGCTCGTACTTTCCTGGGAAGGTAAAAAAAAATATCGGAAGAGCATAGAACCGCGTTAAAGTGAACGTCTGGAGCATGTGGTTTTCAAGGAAACGACCCTGTATGCGCTGAAGTTTGCTTGAGCCATAACTGGTATAGTTATTCGCTGAAATGACATTAAACTTGGGCTAAAATCCTGTTACGTCGAACCGGTTCATTCAAAAAATTACTCATTTGTGTTAACATTTCATTGAGTATACTGGCGAAGCTGTCTACTATGGAGCAATGGGGAAATCAAACATGTCAGTCTTCACAAGACTTTATTTTCCATATTCAGCTGGTCTTGCCACTTCGATGACGACAACTATGTCAATATTGGGAGGCTCAAAACTCTTCTATTTTCAATGAATTCGACATTACCATGGTATGTCGGAAAATCGTCCACCCTTCGACCGCTCGAAATTTCATCAGCAGATGGAATGAAAGTGAGTTACTTCAATCACTGTATGTTGAGTTTGGGCAGAGCATGAGGATTTCGGCGGTGCAGAAACTAGGCCAAAGCAAGCAACAGGGTGCTGAGCTTAATTGTTTGGCCGTGGTGAGTATACTGCCCGCGCTGCGAAGCCAATATCACCGCAGCACTACAATTCTGATGTCCTGTCCCACGTTCGATATCCTTTTCGTGACCTTCTTTCGCTGCTTTGCATCCTGTACCAGGGTGAACAACAAGTTTACAAGTTTTTTTAGTTGTTGCGATCCAATGGTACAGTTACATGGTCACCAATGGACAAGAATAGCACAAGACAGACAAAGATGGAAAGGTTCCGATTTGCAAACATGGAGGAATGTTTGAAGACAAATCGCGTAAAAGGTAAAAGGTAAAAGGTAAAGGTAAGGTCTCGACATTGAGGAGATGTCGAGATCATCTAACAGTTCAAATGCTGCGAAATTTACCCATTCGTTCGAATCTCTTTCGCTTCATCAACATGTACGGCATCCAACTAGAATGGAGAAGATCATTGATCTTATCCTATTCTTCGGAACAAAGCATTTTGGCCTTAAATATACTACCACCTCTTGCATCTTTAGATCACAACATACCCTCAAAATGTTAAATACAACGCCGAACTCACCAACCTTTTGGTGCAAAGACTTCAAATCCTGTAACAAGGTAGCCATCTCAGAACAGCTCTTGTAAATTGACTGGCTATCTGTTTTTGAGAGCATCAGAAGTATTGATGACGTATATGGTCGGTTTTGTACTGTTATTTATGACATCATTAATCAGCATCTGCCAATATGTG